GCCTTTGAAGGGTAAACATCCATTACAGTCTTTAGGTGGTATACTGTTGATTACGTAACCTCACATACAAGTTGGTGATTTTGTAACTTCACACACGTGTGATATATTTCGTAACTTCACATGGTGGTGAGAGATTATGTAACTTCACATATAATGCCCCTCCCGGGGACACACACTCACACATACACATATACACACACTCACACACACAGAAACAAACATTCACGCCTACATTCACAAACGTGAGCTTACTTAAAAATCAGGTTCCTAGCTGACATTTCCGGGATCGCTTGTTGTAACTTCCTCCCTGCCTTGGTCGTACGCATGTCGACCATAATCAGCTTCTCGTACGATTCCCCGAGACGCTCTGAAATGCCCAGCAATTCCTGAGATGAGAAGAAGAAAGAAAAACTGCAGTATATCAACTCTGCGCAATACATGTAGAAGATTCACCGTGTCCAGTAGAAGAGTCTGCACTCCAATGCTTTATGCGATGATCGCTGCAAACGGCTTGTCGTTCTAAGGAGAGATACCCTGTCAAGGGGTATAACCCAGGACAGTGAAGCTGATTCTCTTGAATCTATCTTGGCTGTGTACACCAGTGTGAAAGGAAACGAAAGACCAGACAGATTGGCCGTGTCTGCAGTGAGTGGTAGAGGAAGAAGTATAATACAGGGCAGAAATACTGAATGCGTTGCGTTTTAGAAACTTTGAGACAAAGGAGTCAGAGGAAATGAATCACCTGATGGGAATGGCTATTAAAAACAGGTTGCGGGGTAAAGAAAGATGAGATGCGTGAGTGGGTCGGATCGATGTGCTAGAATGTATATACGGACAGCAGATAACAAGTGATAACTTTAACAATAACTTTACTGCTGACATTGACTACTTGGTGTGTACACAGAATAGACGAAAGACCAGACATGAGACTGCGCTGTGCTAGGAGGATGTAGTATATACGGACAGCAGATGAACGTTGCGTTTGAGAAACTTTGAGACAAAGGAACAATGAATCACGTTACTGAATGGTATTGACTACTTGGTGCTACATAATAGAGGGTCATGAGACTGCGCTGTGCTAGGATGTATATACGGACAGCAGATAACAAGTGATAACTTTAACAATAACTTTCCTGCTGGCATTGACTACTTGGTGCTACAGAATAGAGGGTCATGAGACTGCGCTGCTAAGAATGCGTGGCTAGTGCAGCTGCAATGAACTGTGTAGGTGAGGATTTGTATTTTGTATTTTGTCCCTGAGATATCGCCATTCCTTACCAAGGATCAAACCCGGGTCCCAAGCACGAGAGCCCAGCATTCTAACCATTCGGCCAGCCCTTTTGGCTCGCAGTCTGTTCCTTCATGTCGTTCCATCCTATGTCATCAGTTCAATATTATGATTGGAATCAGGTCAAGCAGCTTTGGTCTCTCTCATCAACATTCGTCTTAGAGTTTCTTCTGGACGTCCTCGCCTCCAGAATCCAATTATTGTCAATTGTTATGCCCGTTTGTCGATTCTCTGCTGGTTTCTCCTCAGGGTGTGTCCAATGTAGCGCCATCTTCTGTCTCACATTTAAATAAAAGTAAAGTAAAGGACCCGTTTCCGCGACTTTAGGCGTATAGGGCATATAGGGCTAGACCTAATATTTTATAGACCAATCGGCTCAAGATGGTAGATATAGTCAGCATAACGCCGGCCGCCTTTATTTACCAGGACTGCACCTGGTACCCACTCAAGGCTGCGTCTACCTGGGATTTCACATTTATACAAACTTGAAATTCTCAAAATCAAACAATCACGCAAACAGAACATGACTGTTCTGGGAACGTGCTCGATATATTTGTTAGTCAAATGGTGCTGACTCCACCATGAAGACCACTTCTGTCTTTAGGAATATTACGTGATGAAGCTACGATCGTTTCCATGGCGCAGCTCTCATTCCACTGTCTGGAAACCACGAAAAGCCACTTTTCTAAAGAGCCAAACGAGGGAATCGTCGGGGATTGCATTGTGAAACCAGTTCACTAACCTCTAAGCCACAGTTCCGCATTCTTGATGTACGTGGTATGTGTGTGTATGTATGTGTCTATGTGCGTGTGTCTGTGTGTGTGTGTGTGCGCGCTACCTGCTTGAACTCACCATGCCGTAAGGACCTGCGCAGGCACATCCACTGCGCACCTGGATCCCAAAAACATCATTGAGGATCCTGGCGATGAAGTCGTGATGGACAAACCGGCCAGTTTGCTTGTTCAGGAACAGCATGGAAAAGATAGGCAGTCGATCCACATCTAGGTTCCCCAGGATGACCAAACCAGGCACGCCCGACCATGCCGCTTTGGCCAGTCTGAAATTTGAAATTTAACATTAAGATTCTCGCCACTTTAAAACCTGGCCAACATCAGAAAGGCGGTTGTGGGGCTTTGTGGATAGTCAACGCGTTTCATAATTTACCAAGTATCAAGGTGGGACTTTCGCATCGGGAGTTATAGAAAAAGGCCTTATACGAGAGTTAGACTGTGGAAGAGAGACTTCACTACGTGATATTCCAAAAAGCAGTAGTGGATGCCCACCTCCATTGTTGTTTACGGACATGAAGCGGTAGCTAGAAGTCAGTATTATCGAGATTCCGGTAAAGATCCATCTGATGGTTGCATCACTGCGCATTATCTGATCCACTCAAGCTGTGAGTTGACCATAAAGTGAATGTTTCCCAGACTTACTGGGCCAGCTGTTTGCTTTCTGCAGTCCGGCAGTGGATT